GCGCCGTGCATCTCGGCGATGGCGCGGTCGGCCGCGCTCTGGCTCTGGAAGTGCACGAAGGCGAAGCCGCGCGAACCCCGCTCGTCGCTCACCACCTTGGACGACAGAATCCTGCCGAAGGCGGAGAAGCGCGGGTGCAGGGCCTTGCTGTCCACCGAGCGGCCCAGGTTCTTGATGAACACGTTCCCCACGCCCGACCTGCGCAGGTGCGCGTCGCGCTGCGCCCACATGAGGCGGGTGGCCCGGCCCTGGACCACGTCGAAGTTCATGGTGTCCAGGGCCCGCTGGGCGTCGGCCCGCTGCAGGAAGTTGACGTAGGCGTAGCCCAGCGAGCGCCGCGGGGCCAGGTCGCGGCAGATGCGGATGGACAGCACGGGGCCCGCGGCGCTGAACTTCCTGAACAGCAGGTCCTCGGTCACGTCGGCGTGCAGGTCGCCCACGTACAGCGAGGCTGGCGGTACTTGGGGGCCACCTGCATCTCCGGTCTGCTCACCCAGCGGAGCCAGCGGCCAGGCCCTGGGGCACCGCGAGGGGGCTCAGGCTGGGCTGCGCGGGCTCCGGCGCCACCCGCCTCCAGGAGCTCCCCAACCCTCCATGGGCTCCGGGGGGGGGGGTCTGGGCGCGCCCCCTGTGGTGCCCCGCACCTGCCCCGCTGACGTTGCAGGGCGGGGACCTGCCGAGCTCCCTGTGCACGCACGGCGGGCAGGAGGCCAGGCGAGTGCAGGCCGGCCCGCTTGCAGCGGCTGGGGTTAAGTTACCCGGCCCAGAGGCCCGTGCCTGTGGCCTGGGGGCGGCGGGGAGCAGAGCGCCCGGCCCAGGCCTGAAGGAACGTGGGGATCCGGCGCGGCTTGGACACCCGGGGAACCAGCAGCCCCGGCCTGCAGCCCGCGCGGCGCCCGGGAGGCGCTGGGGCCCAGAGGGAGCGAGGGACAGACTGATGCACTGCACCAGTGGCCGCCTGGGGGCTCACCGGGCTGCGGGCAGGGGCCGCGGGCTCCGGAACTCGCGCGCACAACTTCCCGCGTGCTCCTGCAAAGTGGGCTGCTTCCTTTTTAATATTTTTGGAGCCTAGGGCCTCCCCAGCCCCACCGCCCTGCTTCCCACCCCCGGGTGGAGGAGGAGCTGCAGGCGGCGATGGGGGAGGAGAGAGAAGGCCCAGAGGAGGGGCTACCCACAGCCCCCACCCAGCTCGGGCCTTTGCTCTGCCTGGGTGCTGCTGGCCAGACCCTCCCCCAGGCTGAGCCCAGCCCCTGCCAAAGCCCAGCCCTGCGCCTCTTTCTTCCAGGTTCTGCAGGATCCTCACAGCCCAGCTCCACTCTGCCCCAGCAACCCCTACCCCTCAGCCCAGCAGCCCCCTGGCACGCTGGCCCTTCTTTTCAGGCCAACTCTGCCACAGACAAAAAGTGTTGCCAAAAGCATCCGTAAACATTTTGTTTCCAAGCAGCTTCCTCCAACAGTGTGGGAGCTCAGCCCCTTAGACGCACGCTCGGGTGGACTTTGCAGAGTCTCATGTCAGCACACGGTGTTCTCGGGGCTCGGACTTGCGGACAGCGTGTTCTGCATTTACTGAGGGAGGTGACTGCGGAACACACCCAGCAGCCAACCTCCTGAGGTCGGTGCTCAAGCCCAGAGACAGGACTTCGTCCGCACTAGGGGGACGGGACTGGGAGATTTGGGTCTCTGGCTCTTCAGGCTGGGTAACAGAGTTACTTCTTCCCACATAAAACACAGCCCTGGCATCACCTCCATACACCCTTAACATGCGGGTTATAAGGACTCTTCCCAGGTGTCTGCAAAACTGAAATTTGGCTCAGCTGGAATCTTTTAAAATTACCTTTCCTGGATGATCCAAATTCTAGTAGCTTCTGCTAATGTGTAATGTTTGCTGTCAGTAGTCTGCTGACACTGATTTTATTTTTTTCTGAAGCAATTCAGTGAATGTGTGCCTTGCATACAGGTACCTAACCTGGCCTGCCTCCTTGGGTTTGCGGGATGGTGGCTGGACATTGACAGTGTCCACCAGGTTCCTGCATGGGGCCTTGGGCCAGCTCCACAGCTCTGTATACTGCTCTGTATCTTACTATGAGCATTAGAGATTTCATTCGGTCTCAATACTTCAGGGATCCTGAAAGTACTTCGGTTAAATGCCAGTATTTCGCCTCCCTTTGAAATAAGTTGGGGTTGGAGTTGCTTAGGTGATGTAACCCGACTGCCCTTCAGTGGACACTGTCACGTGGGTGGCCCAGAGCAGTGAGGCAGGTTTGTCCCAAAGGCAGGAAGCTGTGCTGCTTCCCTTCAACCATACTGGATTCTGCCCCTTGCTCAATTAAGAAGACACAAGTGCATAGTTACTTTGTGTCAGCAAATGCATTTTAAAAATACAAATAGGTTCCACTAATTAGAGTCCAGCACCCACATTCATCAACGCCAATGGAGTCAACTACTAATAAAATCATCCTTGTTTTTATTCAAAATGGTTGTTACTGCCTTAAAGGAAAGTCGTTGCAAGAATGAAATTGGTTTTTCTTTTGAAACTGTCATGTTCACTAATAACTCGAAAGTAAAATAACCGTCTCTCCGATTATTTGATTCAGTTTTACAATGACAAGCCTCTTTCGAACTGTAACGTTTTTCTGCATTTTTTAAACTCCAGCTAGAGTGTACATTCTTTAGAATGGTTCATGAGGGTTACCCTTCACCGGGACACACAGAAAGGGTTTATTTACTAAGTAATGTCTGATTATTAGTAGATTTTGATTTAAAGTTTCAACTCAATCCAAGCTACCATTTACTAGTAAAAATATCAGTCATCATCAAACACGGTGTGAATAAGACACCTTTCCTCAAAAGTCGCATGGCTCTTATTAGAGAAAGATCAAAGCAACAATTTCAAAGACTGAAGACAGAAGCAGCACAGAAGAGACAGAAGTTAGTCCCCTGCTAGAGTGAGCAAGGCCTTCGAGGGAGCAGTGCCCAGTCAGGCCCAGAGCCCCAGGACACTCAGGGTCAGAGATGCTGGCAGTGGAGGAGTGAACATGGTGTCAGCGTGGCTGGGAATGGATCCTTTATGGGCTACTGATCCCTCTTGCTGTCCTGCCGAAGAACATGAACAGACTGCTACCAGTTTAAAGTTAATGTGGGTAATTACCCCCTCCTGCTCTGCAGAAGGCCCGATTCTGTATTTGGGGGTGGGGGGCTGGCATTTTATGAAGTGACGACTTTTCTGTTCTGAACGCAACTGGCAAATCCCAAATGGCCAGAAATGTCTTGAAGATATAAAATGCTTTTCGGCAGCTTGGTAATGTCTGTTTTCAAAAAGAAAAATCCTTTCTGCAGGCATCAATGCCTGTAACCAGATGCTTGCTGCCATGTCTGGCCACCAGACCGACAACTGAGAACTGTCCTTCAATTTGCTCACTTGCAGAATGACCTTTCCCACTCTATACCATTACCGTCCACGGAGATGTTCACTCATTAGTCTGCCTCATCTCTCACTCCCCTAATACTATACTACACGTGCAACACACACACGTATAGCCGCCTCTCTCCACACACACACAAACACAGATGCCCAGCATGCAAACACTGAAAACAGATCACATGGCTCCCCTAAATTCAGGTAGGTCAGTCTGGGCAGGGGTCAGCTTTTCCGTTTTATTGTAAATGAGCCAATCAGGTTTGAGCTGAATGTTCTGATCAGGTTCAAGTCTCCAGCTGCCAGTAGTCCAGGGCTTAAATTTATTGGAAGGCTTGAAAATGGAAGCACATGATTGGTGCTCATCAGACCAATTGGGATTGAAAAGGGTCGAATAACAATTGTAGGGTGGGGACCTTTGATGAAGATATAAGGCAGAGCAAGAGCCAGGAGCAAGAGTTCACACATCGCATACCACACACCACACACACCAACTCACCACCACCGCACTGAACATTTCAAGAGGCAAATCCCATGTTTAGCTGCTGCCATTTTCTTACTGCCTAGAATAAGGGCTAGCATGCAATATACTCCCGAAACAAGTTTTGAGTATAAGCAATGATTCTCCACAGATCCCTCTCATTTCTGCACATTTTGTAAACAGAGGCACTGTTATGTGTGTTCTTCGTTCTGGGCGATGTATAGAAAACAGCTGTGAAAGCTCGAGAACACAACTTTCTCTGAAGCAAAGCAGAGGTTTGTTCAAAGCCTTGCAAGATAGAGATCCTGGCTCTCTCGGGACCACAGAACAGGTGGGAGATGCACTTCCTGTCTACTATAAGAGACCTGGGCTCTAATTCCCCATCAGCCACCCATGCATTTGGCTGCTAATGTCACCTGGACTCTCACACATCACCCATGGGGGGTGCTTGTCCTCAGGTATGTAGAACCGCTCGAAGAGCATGTCTACCTACTGGTCACTGCTCTAATTGTGAGTAATACACTGTGTTTAAGCCAGGAGAATTGTTTATTTTGCCCACATTCCTAAAACTGTCAGGTAGCATTAGCTCTTCATAGGTGACCACTGGATGATAATAGAGTCCTGACATAGATTAATGGTCTGGAAAGCAGATAGAATCACCAACTGTGCAAAAAGTGGGTTTTTGGCTAACTGGCCTGATGTGGAGGTGGGCTGGTGGAGGTGGGCTGCAGCCTAAGCACAGCTGTTTCTCCAGTGAGGAGGGTCCTCTGCACTGAGTTCTGTCCACTCCTGACAGCCTTTACTGGGGTTACCCCTCTTAGAGCCGCGAGTTCAGCCTCACTATCATCGGCACGGTTCCCGTCACAGGGTCACTGCTCAAGCTCAGCAGTTCATGCTGACAGCCCCGCTGTGGCACTTGAAACTTCACTGTTACATTCTGGACTTTTTAATAAGGAACATGTGCAGTCTGACATCACAAAATCACTCAACAGGCTCATGGATTTCTCATATACTGAACAGTCCACAGACATATGGTGCTCCAGTGGGTCGGAATGTCCCTCTCACAATCAACTCAGCATGATTCTCACTCCCCCCTCGAGGCCTGTGGCTCTGCGCCTTTGAGTCTGAGTTCAGTTGCTGACTGTGGCTACCCCAAGCTCTCATCTCATCGGGCCACTCCTAGGTAGTCACCAGGAACAGGAGGGTGGTGTGCACAGACCTAGAATGAGCACAGGGCATTCTGCCCCATCCATGCTGACCACTGTGTCTTCTCTTCCGAAGGTCATCACCACACCGGCCTGGCTGACAAGCCTTCCCACTAGCAGCGTGGCCAAAGGGGCTCCAGCGTCTCAGAGTCTATTTTAATTTTTCCACCTGGACACTCTTCTCAGTCCAACATAATCCCAGGCCATGAGAATCATGGCCACCTGCACACCCATATGTCCCTTCGTTGTGGACCATCATAGTCAAATGTGGACAAACATGGATTTTGTCAGTTTCACCCCCATGTCCTTATCTTTCATGTAACTGGCCCTTAGGGTTGAAAACTCTGGTGCAAGTGACTGATGACTGGGGAGAAGATAAAGGTA